ACCTTAACTGTTTTAACCCTTCTAGGACCGCATACATTAGGCTGGACGTGGCGAGTCCTCTATTGCTGAAGAATCCCAATTTGACGACCAATACTTTGATCCTAATAACCCGTCGGAGCCCATCATTGACCCCTCCTCATCTGGGCTCTTGAGAAATCTCGAGAATGGTAGGGCAGAATTACAAAGAGTTTAACTGGCGCCTGTTGGCTGAGAGATGGTGGGACACCACCAATCACATTTCCACTCTCTTGGGGCGAATGACGATGAACCCCAACTGACTTTTTTCATTTGTTTCGGGATCCTTTTGGTACCGGCCGATCGAGCCTGTATGACGATTGGAGGAACTGCGGTTACCTGTGCCCCGACCGAATGACGGAGTTGAAAATAGGGATTGACCTTCCCCGGATTGTTTAGACCCAGCATTCCTCCCCGATCCTGAGTGTTTTTCGAGGCACAGGTTAATCCTCACCAAGCTCCCTAATCATTTGCCTGACATAGATCAGGGAGAGTAAGGCGACTCAGGTAGCTAGATTCACTCTGCTGCTGCTGTTTGCTATGTTCTTTCTGGTCTAACAGAAAAGAGAAGTTTTAATCCCTCTATACTGAGGAGTCTTGGAGGAACTTGCCCCAACCTCACTGAGTATGACTGGGGCCGGTGCTATTTTCTAGCCGCATGTACGAGGATGAAATGTGCGATCTGAGTCTGAGGCCACTGTAAGGCTCAGTGGGACCCTACTATTTCCTGGGAGGTAATGTAAAAGAAAAACATATTCCCATTCCTGTCCCCCCGACCCCTTTATTTTTATTATTAATTCCTTTCCTCTTGTGCAGACTTGGGCCTGTTGAGTATTTTTCCCTATATCCGCCCTGAGCTGGCCCGCATGATCTCTGGGCCTAGGGTTGGTACCGTTTTAAGCTTGGGAGATGGACTATGAAATCCCTCCTTCTGAAAAAGTTCCCCAAGGTGTCATAATAACGATCTCCATAGGCCACTTGATGGCCTTCAATCTCGAACGAGGATCACATTATATGCGCAGCCCACGAAGTTGGTTATTTATCATCGCGCGGTCAGGTATCATTATAATGAAGAGTTATCTCTTTGACACTGAGAGAGCGCATGCTCTCAACGATAACTCGTATGACTCGCTTAAATAGGGCATCGTTAATGTCCCGAGGTAGTCCACATTCTGCGTGCATAATGCCTATAAGTAGTCTTCTTGTGTCATGCGGGAATGTTGAGAAGACAACTATAAAAGAGAAAATAAATAGAACATTTCGTATTATAAATCTATCTGAGTAAAGGATTGTTGCGGTCTTACTTACATAGGTTGAAGTAGGGGCGCACTGTGTACGTGTGGGGTGCAATCAATCCAGGGCGATGAACTCTCAAAGGCAACTTAAGTTATGAAGTTCATCGGAGACGAAGTTGTAACTCTGGAGGAGAGCTGGTGATTGCCACTCTCCATATATATGTTTCAAGAGTCACAAGTATAGGAACCCAGCCACATAGAGGGGACTATTCATGAGAATCTTCTGTTAAGACGTCTCTAATGTGTCTAGTAGGAGTTATAATATTCATATCTTGAAAATCTGTTGCTTCTGCAATTGAGTAATCTTCCATCAATCGGTTCCGGGACTCCCAATAGTCCAATTGCCCGACTCACGCCAAGCAAATCGATTCCTTCTCGATGATGAAATGAACTGCCCATATTGTGAATCTTTGGGCCTGGCAAAATTCCTTTCGCCATAGCATCCAAAAAATATATTTTTCTAATCAATCAAGTTCCTGCTGGATTACCGAGGAAACGATTGGTTATGCTCCTCCAGTATGAGTTTTTTTTCTTTCACTTTTTCATCTTTAGAAAAAAATTCTAAACTTGATAGGATTAAATGTGATGTCTAACTGATAAGGGAATTGGCAGAATATGGACTAGGAAGTGAAGTTTCAAAAACAAGGATGAGTGTTATAGTTTTACTGGCAATTCTCCTTGCTGGAGATGTTTAACAAGGAAGAGGCCTACATGGAGGCCTACTGATGACATGTTTAAAGAAGGTTGGAATCTTCACAAATTCGTAAAGTCAGCTTTACCAAATGGAGTGAATGCGATTGGAGATCCAATTCTCCTTGAAGGAGGCCAAGCAGATGGTAGAATTATGACGGAATGTTTGATTTCCATGCTTGGAATTGGAATTTCTTGTTCTGCCGAATCACCTACAGACAGGATGGACATTAGTGATGCTGCTATAAAGCTTCATTCGGTCAGAGATAAGTTAAAAAACTCTAGAGGAAGAAATGCACGCGCGAGCAATATTAGTCATATATAGATGAGAAATATATAGTATTGTTTGTTAATTGATAGAAGGAAAGTTCCATAACTTGCAAGAAGGACACAGTTCATATGAGCTTGCGTTTTTAGTTCCTGTTTTCTGTGTTTAGTCGGGGTTTCAATGTTCTAGTGGAAATACCTGGAGACCGGAGGAAAAAATAGATTAGAAGGATGGACTCACGTTAGTAGAAATACATTTTGATAAAAAGGAAAACCTTATGGATTTGAAGTTTAAAGCCTAATGTTATAGAATTTTATATAACTATGTTATAGAATTTTATATAAACATTTTGTAAATACATTATGTATATTCTATAACTATTATTTATTTATTTATCAAAATGCAGCCTTAGTTGAAACTTGAGATTCAATAATGTTTCTTATCATTTTTTTAAATATAAATTGCTTGGCTTTTTGAGCTTGATGTATTGCCAAATTGGTTATTGGTATTAATTTTCTTTCTATAGTAGGACCAGATGCAACACAAAAGGCCAACTAGAACAAACAAAATATAATATAAATTAAGAATTTTTACAAAAAAAAATAAGGGGGCTAGCTTGACTGAATCAATCAGCTTACCAGTATAATATGGGATTTCATGGTCCAAAATCTAAATAGCTTAATCATTCCTCATATTGGTCTTTCAGTTTTAGTCTTCCATTGTATGGAGAACCTTTTAACTCTGTAGGAATGGGCTCTGTATGCTTCTGGTCTTGTTTTTTAAACTCTGCTACTGTTTATCTGTTGTTCTTTGCCAAAAGAACATACTCACTTGCTGGAAATGAGACTGATCAACTAGCCCTGCTCGAGTTCAAGGCCGGAATAGCTGCTGATCCTTTGGGGGTCATGACCTCATGGAATGGCACCAGCCACTTCTGCCAATGGTACGGGGTTACTTGTGGCCGCCGGCACCGGAGGGTCATGACCTCATGGAATGGCACCAGCCACTTCTGCCAATGGTACGGGGTTACTTGTGGCCGCCGGCACCGGAGGGTCATAATGTTGGAAATCCGTTCCTTAAAACTTGGGGGAACCATATCTCCATACATTGGTAATTTGAGCTTTCTAAAGGTACTAGATGTTGGGCATCAGCTCTGATACCAATTTTTGGGCATCAGCTCTGATACCACTCGTTGGGCCCTTTCAACCAATTAAGAGAAAATTAACGCTGCGGAATAATTGAAATGGGACATAGAAATTTACGTGGTTCACCCTCAACTTTAGGGCTACGTATACGGGACAAACTCCGAATTATTTTTCCACTATTTAAAAATAGTAGGTACACAAAGAGAGTAATACAAAAATAGTGGCACACAAAGTGTTTCCCAAAAACACCCCATAATGATTTTCTCACTATTTTTCTCTCTCCTAATTGTAGGAAACCCATCCTAAAACCAAATAACTCTCTCTACATTTTTTTTCTTCTTCTTCTGCTGTGTGTTGTGTGAGCTGCAGCTGCCTCTATTTATAGGAATGAGAGATGCGTAATTAACGCGTTCACCGCCTAACGCATCCACTGCGTCCACCGCCCATATGCAGCAATTCAAAGCCATCACTGCTGAATTGGCTGCTCCTATTTTTCTTACTTTCACACATGTGAATCCCATTTAAGTGGGCACACCACAACAATTCTCCCCCTGCACACTTAAGTGGGAACATTAGCCATACTCTCCATCATCTCCGTAGCTAACCAACAATATTCGACTTTCTCCTTTGAAAGAATCTTTGTCAACATGACTGATCCATTTTCTTCTGTATGGATCTTCTCAAGCTGTAACAGCTTCATCTCCAACACATCCCTAATATCAATGTGTTTTGATCTTGAATGGAAATCTTGAATGGAAGGAGGAATTCTTTCCAGGTGAATTGCGTCTTTGACTGTCACAAAATATCGATATTATTCTTGATGAATTGAAGTTCATTCAAAAGAATTTCTTATCCACAGCAACTCCTTGCCATCTTCAGTAATCTTGACTGCCACGAACACAGCTCCCCTGCAAACGTGATTGATATCCTGAAAAATCCATTTTTACTACAGTCTAAATGTTCCTTTCTAGGATTGAAAAGAAATCGACTCACTACTCGCCAACTGAGTGACAATATCTTGGCCGGTACAAACATGGCATATACATCAGGCTTCCAACTGCTGAAGCATATGGAATCTTTTCCATCTCTTCCTTCTCCTCCATCCGTAGAAGGGCACTGTTTAGAAATTCAATTTAAAGTGTTAGTAAGAGGACAACTAATCCTTTAGTATTTTCCATTCTAAACCTTTGAAGTACTTTCTCCAATATACTTCCTGTAACGACATATTTTCTTGGCTCTTTGATTCCTTTAATCTTCATGCCAAGATTCCTTGTAATCTTCATGCCAAGAATCTGCTTTGCTGGTCCCAAGTCTTTCATGGCAAAAGACTTACTTAGCTGTTTCTTCAAACTATTAATTCTGACCAACAGTCACCATATTAACCACATAGAGCAAAAACAATGTAGTCATCATCAGAGATTTTCTTCATAGAAACATAGTGATCTGAAGTAGTCTTTCTGTAGCCTTGCTCCCCCATAACAGACTCAAACTTTTTGTACCACTGTCTCAGTGTCTACTTCAAGCTGTACAAGCTCTTCCTCAGTTTGTAAACACAATCCTCCTTTTCTACGAAACCCTCTGACTGCTCCATGTATATTTCTTCTTCCAAATGTCCATATAGGAAGGTAGTCTTTCCATCCATTTGCTCGATTTTCAGTTCAAAACTGGCGGCCATTCCGAGCACTGTTTGAATGGATGTCATTTTCACAACTGGTGAAAAGATCAAAATCAATACCCTTTCTTTGATTGAATCCTTTCACAACCAGTCTAGCCTCTTTGATTTTGAATCCTTTCACACCAGTCTGCTTTTGATCGTGGTTGGGAGCATATGTTTCTTCCCAAACTTGATCCTAAACACCCACTTGTATTCTCAAAGCTTTCTTGCCTTTAGGCAACTTTCACAGCTCAAATGTTTCATACCTCATGCAAGGACTTCATTTCACCTTGCGATGGCTTCAATCCAGTTTCTCTTGTGTTCATTTCCATAAGCTTTCTTCAAAAAGCTTTCAGGTTCTCTCCCCCATTCAATCGTCAGTAGCATACTCATCTGACTGGATATCAGATAGGATATCTAGTAGATGGTTGTCAGACTCTACTAGATCTTCTTAATGTTTGAGAACCTTCTGGTGCTGGTGGTTGAACATGAACACCATAATCTTTATCTAGTTCATTTTGATTAGGAACTTCTCGATTTTCTAACTCTGGCACTTGTTCTTGTGGAACTTCATCTCCAATTTGTCTGTATTCTATTGGAGGGACTATCTGTATGTCTATTGAGTCTTCATCAGATCTATTGGCACTCTGCTTCAATATCTTCAATAGTCTGATCTTCAACCAATACAACATCACGATTTCTTATAATTGTCTTCTGGATTGGGTCATAAAACCTATAGCCACATTAGTCTTGGCCATAGCCAATGAATACACATCGTCATTAGTCTTGGCCATAGCCAATGAATACACATCGTCTAGTCTTGACATCAAACTTCGACCATTCATCCTTCGAGATATATACGAAGGCTTTGCAACCAAACACCCGCAAATGATCATAGGAAACATTCTTTCCTAACCTTACTCTCTCTGGAGTATCATACTATAGAGGGAAACGGAGTGAACGGCGAACTGCTGTGAGTAACGCTTCACCCCAAATCTTTTAGACAACTTTGCATGTAAGAGTAAACATTTGACTCTCTCCATCAAAGTTCTGTTCATCCTCTCAGCCAAACTGTTCAGTTGCGGCATCTTGGGAGGTGTCATTTGATGTCGAATGTCATGCTCTTTGCAGAAAGCATCAAATTCAGAAAGCATCAAATGGCCCAGTGTATTCTCCACGCAATTGATCTGTCCTGAATACATCTTCAGCTTCTTGCCTTATGTTCTCACCAGGTTTAGAAAGACTTTAATGTGTAACTCGACCCAGGTGCTTCACTAAAATGGTCATCGATAAATATCGCAAAATATCGATTTCCACCCATATGACAGTGGTCAATTGGTCCGACACAAATCTGAATGAATCAGATTTAATAACATTCTTATCCATTCTAGAAGGGTAAAATTTGAAAGCTACTCTGTTTAGCTTTCCCGCCATCCAATCAGGATACTTTGTCTAGGTTGAAAGCTTCCATCCCAATCCAGCGCTAAGTTACGTTCTTTTCTTTGCAATGAGTATCTCATTAACTCATGTGGCGTAGTCAAATTGCCCCAAGAGTTACCAACTGTACTGTCATTCTCTGCTAAAATCACTCGATAAAGTGGTCCTGTTCGGAAGAGTTTTCGCATGCCATCAACGTACACTTTCCAGTCTTCAGCTAACCACAAAATGCAACCTTTTGTGAGCTATCCACTGACAATTTTTTGAAGGTGGCTACAGAAACCTTCTAGTACGTTCTTTCTTGCCAGAGTTTTCTTACTCATGTGGCGTAGTCAAATGCCACAATTCAACTGTACTGTCATTCTCTGCTACACTCAAAGTGTCTTGGAAGAGTTTCGCATGCATCACGTACATCTTTCAGTCTTCAGCTACCACAAATGAACCTTTTGTGAGCTTCCACTGACCATTTTTGAAGGTGCTACAGAAACCTTCATCATCAAATCTGCCAAACGAGATTTGGACGCATGCTCGAAAGCCTATTCCTCATCAGTCTTGTCTTCCGGTTTAGTTGAACTAAACACAGGCAAATACATTTTGAGTACCATAAGGAGATATATAATTTCTCCATATATGGTAATTCCCGCCATTTAGATTGATCATTTTCTTTGTCCATTTTGACTTGTGCAGAATATCATCACCAACATAAATCATATACGTGAACAGTAGTATACGTGAATAGTGACCATGAATAGTAATAGTAATAGTGACCATGAATAGTAACTGTATATGTGAATAGTAACTGTATGCGTAAATAGTAACTGTACACGTGGATAGTATAGTGTTGGGCTTACTTGAAAGGGACTTAGCAACAGTAACGCCAATAGTACTTTTCACCATCAACTTTGAGTTTACTATTTTACTATTCATCACTAAGTCGATTCTGCAACGCCTTTCCGAGCGGACAGCACCAATGGACTCATCGTAATTTTCTCTTCGTCATGGTATATTTATTTTCAAAATATATCCACGGATCCAGTACCGCTATCTGACTGGCTGAACCTGCCGAAACCTTCGCTCTGATACCACTTGTTAGGGCCCAGGTGGATCCACTTGTTGGGCATCAGCTCTGAATACCAACTCGTTGGGCCCTTTAACCAATTCAAGAGAAAAATTAACGCAGCGGAATAAGATAGAAAGTGAGAAAAGAAATTTACGTGGTACACCCTAATTGTTTAGGGCTACGTCCAACGGGACAAACAGTCTGAATATTCTTTCACTATTTACAAAAATAGTAGCGTACCATAAAGAGAGTAATACCAGAGAAGATAGTGGCACACAGAAGTGTTTCCCAAAAACGACTCTAAATAATTTTCTCATGTTTCCCAAAAACACTCCATAATAATTTTCTCACTATTTTTCTCTCTCCTAATTGTAGGAAACCCATCCTAAAACTAGATAACTCTCTCTACATTTTTTTTCTTCTTCTTCTGCTGTGTGTTGTGTGAGCTGCAGCTGCCTGTATTTATAGAAATGAGAAACGCGTAATTAACGAGTTCACCGCCTAACGCGTTCAAAAACGCCGAACGCGTCCACTGCGTGCACCGCCCATGTGCACCAATTCAAAGCCATCACTGCTGAACTGGCTGCTCCTATTTTTCTTACTTTCACACATGTGGGTCCCATTTAAGTGGGCACACCACAACACTAGACCTCCCAAACAATAGCTTCTCCCGCAATATTCCTCCTGAAATTGGTCGTTTGCGAAGACTGCAAACACTATACCTATTCAATAATTCACTCACTGGTGAGATTCCATCTAATATTTCTAGATGTTCTAGCCTTATTCTTTTAAGCCTTGCAAACACCAATCTGATGGGAAAAGTTCCTGTGGAGCTTGGCTATCTCTTGAAGCTTCAATTTCTTGCTATATCTATGAACAATTTAATGGGAGAAGTCCTTCATTCTCTTGGAAACATGTCTTCTCTTAGTACTATTAATATAGGTACCAACAACTTCGTTGGAAATATTCCTGATGGTATAGGACAACTTAAAAACCTTAAGGTCTTAGTCCTCGGTCAGAATAAGTTGTCTGGCATTATCCCTTCCTCAGTCTTCAATTCCTCAGTCTTCAATCTTTCTTCTATTACAGTTTTGGATATGGGATTCAACAATTTTGAAGGATTTCTTCCTGCAGTTTCATACACCTCTCTTCCAAATCACCAGGTCCTGAGTTATGCTTCTAACCAATTTACAGGTCCCATTCCTAGTTCAATAACTAATGCTTCCAATATAGTCTCTCTCCGGTTGCAGGGAAACAGTCTCACAGGAAAAGTGCCTTCTTTTGAGCGATTGAACCTTCAAGTGCTTTTAATTCAACAGAATCGTCTTGGAAATGGAGAAGCTGATGATTTAGCTGATGATTTGAGATTTATTTGCTCCTTGACATAATGCCAGCATTTTGACTAATGCCAGCATTTTCAGGTGGTTGAGTATTGGATATAATAACTTTGGAGGGTCTTTACCTGATTGCATTGGCAACTTGTCATCCAATCTTGAAAAATTGTCTCTTCATGCAAATCAAATATCTGGAAGCATTCCAACTAATGTGGGAAATCTGGTCAACTTGTTATATATACTAGCATATAACAACAAGCTTTCAGGTATTATTGCCCAAAGTATAGGAAACCTGCAAAAAGTAGCGGTTATGAGATTCAATGAGAACAGGAAACCTGCAAAAAGTAGCGGTTATGAGATTCAATGAGAACAAGTTCTACGGACCTATTCCATCCTCCATTGGGAACCTCACAAAGTTGAATAGACTTTATTTTGCTAATAATAACCTTCAGGGTACAATTCCTTCAAGTCTATCTAATTGCAAATATTTGCAGCTGCTGGATTTTTCTGGAAACAATCTTAGTGGTACCTTACCTCCAGAAGTTCTTGGCCTCTCATCCTTGTCAATTTATGTTAGTTTTGCGAAAAATTATTTCATTGGTTCCCTTCCAACAGAAGTAGGCAATTTGAAAGCATTAGGTACCTTAGATGTCTCTGACAACATGTTATCAGGTGAGGTACCAAGTAGTCTTGGGAGCTGCACAAGTCTAGAGTACCTATACATGAATGGAAACCGTTTCCAAGGGTCCATTCCTTTCTCTCTCAGTTCATTGAGACTTTCTCTCTCAGTTCATTGAGAGGTCTTCAGGTTCTGAATTTTTCTCACAACAATTTGTCTGGGCAAATTCCTGGATTTTTTAAATCTAATTCAGAGAATAAATATTGCAATAGATGTGGCCTCTGCAACTGAATATCTTCATCATTATTGTGGTAGTGCAATAGTCCATTCTGACCTCAAGCCAAGCAGTGTTCTTCTCGATGATGAAATGACTGCCCATATTGGTGACTTTGGGCTGGCAAAATTCCTTTTGCATAGCGTCCAAAATAATTGTACTTATCAATCAAGTTCAGCTGGATTACGAGGAACTATTGGTTATACTCCTCCAGGTAGGCAATTCTTTGCAATTCTTTCACAATGTCTAACTTGAGAATTGCAGAATATGGACTGGGAAGTAAGGTTTCAACAAAAGGTGATATTTATAGTTATGGCATTCTCTTGCTGGAGATGATTACAAGGAAGAGGCCTACTGATGACATGTTTAAAGAAGGTCTGAATCTTCGCAAATTTGTGGAGTCAGCTTTACCAAATGAAGTGAGTGAAGTTGCAGATCCAATTCTCCTTCAAGAAGGAGGCCAATCAAATGACAGAATTATGATAGAGTGTTTGATTTCCATACTTGAGATTGGAATTTCTTGTTCTGCTGAACTGCCAACAGATCGGATGGACATCAGTGATGCTGCCATAGAGCATTGTTTGATCAGAGATAAGTTAAAAGACATCTGAGAAAGAAATGCACCCTCGAGGAATGTTCAAGAGTATTTAACATCAGCAATTAAGATGTAACAATTTCAGCCCTTTTTTTTTTGTAAAAAAAAAAAAAAATTAATTTCAATTTAATTTCTTAGTTCTTCTCTGTATTTCTGTTTCTAATTATTTCCTGCACTCTCATTAACCAAACATGAAACACCCTGTTAAGCTCAAGTTTTACGATTAAGCTTCATACGATTTTTCTCTCTAATTTTTTCCTGGATAGTTATTATGGTTTGTTTCAGTTTCCCATCTTATGAAGCTTGTGTGCTTAATAGTTGATTGGTTTTCCGTGAAACATTAGTAGACGCCAAAGAGGCGTTAGTTGATTGGTTTTCCGTGAAACATTAGTAGACGCCAAAGAGGCGTTTGACAGAGAACAACGACAAGCGTTCCCAAGAAACAAGCAAACGACATCTGTGGCCTACTAATAGGCATTCGTTCCTGTTGTTGGGAACTAATTAGTAAAGCCGTAGAAAAGCCCAAGTCCAACCAACATTTATTACCATATGAGCCCAAGAAGAAGGCCCATTGGTTCCGTTTATTAGAAATCCATGTTAAATTAATCCGCGTTTGCCTTTTGAGGTAGAAAACGAAGTCGTGTCATAGTTTGAAGTATGAACTATGAAGGACTATTCCGTCGCCTTCAGGCTCAGAAAAGGTACAAATGAAGATTAATCTCAATTTGCTTCATTTTGGAGCAAACTTAGATTTTCTTAGTTAATAAAATCAATGGTTTAATCCTAATCAGGTTCTTGAGATCGTGGAAGAATAATTATTATCACGAACCCTTTTTTTTATATTTGATTTCATAGATGATTATTACATTCCAAAAGTTTTCTGAATTTCTCCTGATTGGTATTAATTAATCAATTTTTTTAATTAAATTGTTTGCAGCAACCAGGCAACCAGTGATTGTTGTTATTTAGATGCTATGTTGGCTTATTGGTTTAATTAGCTTGTAAGTTGTAACTGTTATTGCTCTCATTTCTCAGTTCTTTCTTCTCTTTCTTTTTCTACTATTTCCTACACTTTTCCATTAACCAAACACCCCCTACGAAGTTATAAGTTAGCTTCTGTAACACTTACTGACTCTATCATGATTTCTCCAAGTTCTCAGGTGCTAAGTTGAATTCGAAGCGAACCATGTTTCGATTATTATTTTTATTAATGTACATTGTGGAGGGCCCCATCTGATAAGACACAGATGGAGTATAGGTAGGTACTTGACAGTTTGATAGTTGTTTATGCATGCGAGCTTGTTTAATTTTGGTTTGTCCATTTTTGAGTCATTCTGAGTCAGTGCAACAAAAAGATTTCAGCATTCACATAAGATTTCAGCATTCACATGTTGAGTTGCTGGTCAATTTGAGCCGACAACGTTTCTCACGCTTGAGGCATTTGTAATGAAAATTTTAGGAGGTAAATATGAAATTTTCTCAAGATAGTGTATTCAGTTTTGGTTCTAAAAGAGAAATGATTTGCATGACATACTTTTTGGTAGTGGTTGAATCAACGGACGTAAAGATCCATCTATCAGTATTAATATGAGATTTAATGATCTGAATGATCTGAAAAGCATTATCTATCCTGATGGTATATTAGTCTCTCAGTTTTCAGGATCACTAAAAAACTTGAAGTTTTAGTCTTCCAGTGTAGAGATAACCTTCTAAGTTTTAACTCTATAGGAATTAATGGGCTCTTTATACTTCTGGTCTTGTTTTTTCATCTATGCTACTATTTCTGTTTGTCTGGTTTGTCGCACAGGAACATACTCAATTGCTGGAAATGAGACTGATCAACTAGCCTTGCTCGATATCAAGGCCAAAATAGCTGCCGACTCTCTTGGAGTCATGACCTCATGGAATGGCACCGTCCACTTCTGCCAATGGTATGGGATTACTTGTGGCCGCCGGCACCGAAGGGTCACAATGCTGGACCTCAGTTCCTTAAAGCTTGTGGGCATCATATCTCCATACGTTGGTAATTTGAGCTTACGTTGGTAATTTGAGCTTTCTAAAGGTACTAGACCTTAGAAACAATAGCTTCACTCATAATATTCCTCCTGAACTTGGTCGTTTGAGAAGACTACAAGCACTATACCTGCATAATAATTCGCTCACTGGTGAGATTCCACCCAATATTTCTGGATGTTCTAACCTTATTTATTTAAGTCTTTATGACAACAATCTGATAGGAAAAGTTCCTGTAGAGCTTGGCTCTCTCTCGAAGCTTCAATTTCTTCTTGTAGCTAGGAACAATCTAACGGGAACTATCCCTCATTCTCTTGGAAACTTATCTTCTCTTACTCATCTTTATGCAACGTTAAACAACTTTGCTGGAAACATTCCACTATCCCTCATTCTCTTGGAAACTTATCTTCTCTTACTCATCTTTATGCAACGTTAAACAACTTTGCTGGAAACATTCCAGATGCTTTAGGACGACTTAAAAATCTTAATTTTTTGGGCCTCGCTGCATGTAAGTTGTCTGGCGTTATCCCTTCTTCAATATTCAATCTTTCTTCTATTTCACATTTTGATACAGCAGACAACAATTTTGAAGGATTTCTTCCTGCGGATTTGTTCATCTCTCTTCCAAAAATTCAGTTTGGGGGTTTTGGTTTTAACCAATTTACCGGTCCCATTCCTGATTCAATATCTAATGCTTCCAATATAGTCATTCTTCAGTTGCAGGGAAACGCTCTCACAGGAAAAGTGCCTCCTTTAGAGAGATTGAATATTCAAACGCTTCATGCTAATCACAATCATCTTGGAACTGGAGAAGTAGATGATAGGAGATTTCTCTGTTCTTTGATTAATTCCAGCATTTTGCAAAAGTTGAATATGGGCAAAAATAACTTTGGTGGGTCCTTACCTGAGTGCATTGGCAACTTGTCATCCCATCTTGATGAGTTAGGTCTATATGAAAACCAAATATCTGGAAGCATTCCAACTAGTATTGGAAATCTGGTCAACTTGTTGGATTTGCATGTGGATGACAACAACCTTTCAGGTATGGTTCCCCAAAGGATTGGGAATCTGCGAAATATAGTGGTTATGAGTTTCAGTCAAAACAACTTCTTCGGACCAATTCCATCTTCTCTTGGAAACCTCACAAAGTTGAGTATACTTTATTTTGCTGGTAATAAGCTTCAGGGTACTATTCCTTCAAGTCTAGCTAATTGCAACTATTTGCAAGTGCTGGATTTTTCTCAAAACAATCTTAGTGGTATCATACCCCCACAAGTTATTGGCCTCATAGCTCCCCACATATTATGGCCTCTCATCCGTTCAATTTATGGTTAGTTTTGCACAAAACTTATTCACGGATTCCCTTCCCAACAGAAAGTACAAGAAAGCAAAGTCAATGGTATCGAAAACAGTATCAGAGTGATCAGAACCAAAATGCTTGGAGCTGCACATCGTCTTAGGAATACCTATACATGAGCGGAAAAACAGTTTCCATAGGGGTCCATTTCCATTGTCTATTAGTTTCATTGACGGAGGTCTTACAATTATTTTGATTTTACTCACAAGTATCAATGGGGGGGGGGTGGCGGGGTGGCGGGGGGGGGGGGAGGGGGGGGGTGAGGGGGGGGAGGGGGGGGGGGTGCGGCGAGTGGGGGGGAGGGGTGGGGGGGGGGGGGGGGGGGGGCGGGGGGGCCGGGAGCTCGGGCAGGGGGGGGGGGGGGGGGGGGGGGGGGGGTGGGGCGTGTCACCCACCACCGGGGGGCAGGGGGCACGAGAGGAAGGGTGGGCGGCGCTGGGCGAAAGGATGGGGGGGGGTCAGGTGGGTGGGGTCTGGGGAAAAATTCCTGGATTTTTGGCTAGCTTTAATTCATTGCTCAGTTTGGACTTACTTCCAATGATTTTGAGCATAGTGCAAACTGATGGAGTCTTCAAGAATGCAAGCATAATTGCAGTTATGGGAAACAACAAGCTGTGCGGAGGCATACCTGAGTTCCAGTTGCCTGTTTGCCACTTGGAAAGATTGAACAAAAGGAGACTAAAGGTAATCATTGCTACCATAGCAGGAATATCAGGAGCAATTTTGGTGGCATTGTGTTTTCTACTACTTTTGTGGTTTAAAAAGAAAAGACAGAAACCCACTTCACCCAATTCAGAAATTTCTCTTATAGAGCTCCTGAAGGTGTCGTATAAAGATCTCCATAAGGCCACTGAAGGGTTCTCATCAGCTAATTTAATTGGTAGTGGCAGTTTTGTTTTGGATCTGTATATAAAGGAATTTCTTAATGAAGAACGACAAACGATAGCTGTTAAGGTGCTTAACCTCCAATGCCATGGTGCAGCTAAGAGTTTCATTGGCAGAATGTGAAGCATTGAGGAATATCAAACATCGAAATTTGGTCAAGATTTGTGACTTGCATGTTCAAGTGTTTGGGACTATTTCAGGGGCAATGACTTCAAGGCACTAGTTTATGCACTAGTTCATGGTCAATGGGAGTTCTTGAAGAATGGTTGCAGTCCACATGTTCTAGTAAATAAGGTGCAATGAGGGGTATTAAGATTTGAATCTAATTGAAGAGTGAATTATTGGCAATGATGTTGCTTCTTGCAAATTTGCAGTATCTCAGTCATCAATTTGGGACTTCATGTCCATTGCGGTTCTCAAGCCAAGGCAATGTGCTTCTCGATATGCAATGGACTGCCCATTTATTTGGTGACTTTTGGGGCTGGGGCAAAATTCCTTTCGTTATAAGGCATTCCACAAATTAATTATTTGTGGCTTAATCAATCAATTCTGCTGGATTTAGAGGAACCATTGGTTATGCCCTCCAGGTAAGCAGTTTTTCTATTCTTTTTTTCATCTTAGAAAAATTTCAACTTGATAGGATTAAAATGTGATTCTAACTTGTAAGGGATTGCAGGAATATGGACTAGGAAGTCGAGGTTTCCAAACAAAGGTTGATGTGTTATAGTTTATGGCATTCTCTTTGTTGGAGATGTTTACGAGAAAGAGGCCTACTGATGACATGTTTAAGAAGATTTGGAATCTTCATGGCAAATTTGTTTAAAGTTCATGAATTTGTAAAGTCAGCTTTCCCAAATAGAGTGAGTACAATTGTTGATCCAATTCTCATTCAAGAAGGAGGCCAATCAGATGACAAAATTACGATGGAATGTTTAATCTCCATACTTGGAATTGGAATTTCTTGTTCAGTTGAAGCACCAACAGACCGGATCGACATCAGTGATGCCGCTACAAAGCTTTGTTTGATCAGAGATAAGTTAAAAATCTCCCGAGGAAGAAATGCACGCTTGAGAAATATTACTCATACATAAATGAGAAATATATAGTATTGTTTGTTAATTAATAGAAGTAAAGTTCCATAAACTGCAGTTGGTTAATTAATATATATCCATAAACTGCAGTTGGTTAATTAATATATAGTATTGTTTGGTATGCTTTCTTTCTTCTTGGGTTAATTATATGAGTGTTGATTGCAAAAATTTTCGGTTTAGATACCAAAGGAGATGTGTATATACTTTTGGGATACAGAAAAGAGACCAACAGATACAGATGACATGTTTTCAGGATAGGTTTATGCTTCAGATGACATGTTTCAGGATAGTTTATGCTTCACAACTTCTGTAGAACCTTGCCGGAGAAAATGGCTGATACTGTGGATCCAAAACTGCAGCCTCGTATAAACAGAGCAAGGACCAACAAGAATGTCTGTTTTCTGTGCTCAGTCTTGGGGTTTCATGTTATGGAGATACCTGGAGACCGGAGGAAAATAGAAGAAGCAGCTATAGAATCATATTTGATAAATAGGCACCTTATGGATTGAAGTTAAGACCTTGTTAAGCTTTCTGAAGTGTCTGTGTTTCATAGATATGTTTAGAATTCTTAATCTTATTTTCTTTTTGTTTTACATATATGTCTGGCTATGAAACTTGTTTGTCACACCAGGGATATTTTTGTAATTTTCTTTTAAATTATGAGGAGTAAATGTTTTTATATAGCCATAGTTGCCGTCACAATCACAGCTAGCAATAATATTTCCTACCATTTTCTTAAATATATATTGCTGGACTTTTGAGCTTGATGTATTGCTGGTGCAAAAAGCCAAATAGAACAAACAATATGTAACATTACCCTGCTTAGAACTTTCAACCTGTCAATTTGTAGAAATTTAATAAATTAAGAATGTTGATAAAGCAAACAATATGTTGTATAATATGGGATTTCATACCATGATCATTCCTCATAGTAGTCCGTCAGTTTGTCTTCCATTGTATAGAGAACCTTTTAACTCTGTAGGAATGAGCTCTGTATACTTCTGGTCTTGTTTTTTAAACTCTGCTACTGTTTGTCTGTTGTTCTTTGTCACAGGAACATGCTCAATTGGTGGAAATGATACTGATCAACAAGCCCTGCTCGAGTTCAAGGCCGGAATAGTATCTGACCCTTTTGGAGTTACGAGCTCATGGAATGGTTCCATCCATTTCTGCCAATGGTACGGGGTTACTTGTGGCCGCAGGCACCAGAGGGTCACAATTTTGGACCTCACTTCCTTAAAACTTGGGGGTATCATATCCCCATATATTGGTAATTTGAGCTTTCTAAAGGTACTACACCTTGATAACAACAGCTTCACCCACAATATTCCTCCTGAAATCGGTCATTTGCGAAGACTACAGATATTATATCTACTTAATAATTCATTCACTGGTCAGATCCCATCCAATATTTCTAGATGTTCTAATCTTATTCGTTTAAGTCTTATCCAATATTTCTAGATGTTCTAATCTTATTCGTTTAAGTCTTCGGAAACAAACAATCTAATTACGAAAAGTTTCCTGTGGAGCTTTGCTGTTCCTGTGGAGCTTGGCTATCTCTTGAAGATTCAATACCTTCATATAGCTCATAACAATCTAACAGGAACAATCCCTCATTTTCTTGGAAACTCGTCTTCTCTTACTGCTCTTTCTATAGCTACAAACAACTTTGTTGGAAATATTCCTGATGCTATAGGACAACTTAAAAAACTAAACTTTTTAATCCTCACACTGAATAATTTGTCTGGCACTGTCCCTTCCTCAATCTTCAATCTTTCTTCTATTACACTTTTGGATGTAGGACTCAACAATTTTGAAGGATTTCTTCCTGCGGACTTGTTCACCTCTCTTCCAAATCTTCAATTCCTGAGTTTTGCTGCTAACCAATTTACTGGTCCTATTCCTAATTCAATATCTAATGCTTCCAATCTAGGTTATCTTGTGTTGCAGCAAAACTATCTCACAGGAAAAGTGCCTTCCTTAGAGATATTGAACGTTCAAGATCTTTTAATTGGTCTAAATAGTCTTGGAAATGGAGAAGTTGATGATTTGAGATTTCTCTGTTCTTTGACTAATGCAAGCATTTTGCGGCGGTTGCATATTGGCCAGAATAACTATGGAGGGTCCTTACCTGAGTGCATTGGCAACTTGTCATCCAATCTTGAAATGTTTTATCTATATGAAAATCATATATCTGGAAGCATTCCAGCTAGCATTGGAAATCTGGTTAACCTGTTGCTTTTAATAGTAGAGAACAACAACCTTTCAGGTATGATACCCCAAGCAATTGGAAATCTGCTAAATGTAGTAGTTATAAGTTTTAGTGAGAGCAAGTTCTTTGGACCCATTCCATCATCTCTTGGAAATCTCACAAGGTTGAGTAAACTTTATTTTTCTAATAATGAGTTGCAGGGTGCCATTCCTCCAAGTCTAGGTAACTGCACATCTTTGCAGCTGCTGACATTTTTGGCAAACAATCTCAGTGGTACCTTACCTCCACAAGTTATTGGCCTCTCATCCTTGTCAATTTTTGCTAGTTTTGCACAAAACTATTTCACTGGTTTGCTTCCAATAGAGGTAGGCAATTTGAAAGCCTTAGGTATCTTGGATGTCTCTGACAACCTATTATCAGGTGAGATACCAAAAAGTCTTGGGAGCTGCACAAGTCTGGAGCACCTACGCATGAATGAGAACCGTTTCCAAGGATCCATTCCTTTCTCTCTCAGTTCATTGAGAGGCATTCAAGAATTGGATTTTTCTCACAACAACTTTTCCGGACAAATTCCTGGATTTTTGGCTAGTTTTAATTCATTGGTCAGTTTGAACTTATCTTTCAATGATTTTGAAGGCATAGTGCCTACTGATGGAGTCTTCAAGAATGCAAGCATTACTTCAGTTATGGGAAACAAAGGCATAGTGCCAACTGATGGAGTCTTCAAGAATGCAAGAATTACTTCAGTTATGGGAAACAGCAAGCTATGTGGAGGCATTCCTGAGTTCCAACTGCCTGTTTGCCACCTACTGCCTTTGTTTGCAACCTTCAAGATCCAACAAGAGGAGACTTAAAGGCAAACATTGCTGCATAGTAGGGACTATCAGGAGCAATTTCCGGTAGACCACTGTTCTTGTACTTTTCTAGTTCTTGAGGTTTAAAAGAAAAGGACAAGGACCTGCTTTTCTTCCAATTCAGAAATCTTCTTTCTAAAAGTTTCCCCATTGTCTGTATAACGATCTCCAAAGGCACTGATGGGTTCTCATTGGCTATTTTAATTTTGGTCAGTTGGCATGTTTTGGATCTGTGTATAAAGGAATTCTTAACTGCAAGGCCGTCAAACGGTAGCTGTAAGGTGCTTACCTTCCACTCATCATGGTGCAGCTAAGGAGTTTCATGGCAGAAAGCTAAGAGTTTCATGGCAGAATGTGAAGCCTTGAGGAATATCAGACATCGAAATCTTGTAAAGATTATAACTGCATGTTCAGGTGTGGACAATCAAGGCAATGACTTCATGGCACTAGTTTATGAGTTCACGGTCCATGGCAGTCTCGAGAAATGGTTGCATCCATCTCTTGCCGCAGTAAATGGAATGCAAGAAAGATACATGTTTTTAAATCTAATTCAAAGAATAAATATTGCAATTGACGTTGCTTTTGCAATTGAGTATCTTCATCATCGTTCTGGGACTCCAATAGTCCATTGCGACCTCAAGCCAAGCAATGTTCTTCTCGATGATGAAATGACTGCTCATATTGGTGACTTCGGGCTGGCAAAATTCCTTTCGCATAGCATCCAAAATAATTTTTCTAATCAATCAAGTTCTGCTGGATTACGAGGAACTATTGGTTATGCTCCTCCAGGTATAATTTTTCTAATCAATCAAGTTCTGCTGGATTACGAGGAACTATTGGTTATGCTCCTCCAGGTAGGTGGTTTTTCTTCTTCTTTTTCCTTGTTTTCTTTTTCTATCTTAGGAAATTTCAACTTGCTAGGATTACAATGCTATTCTTTTACAAGTTCTAACTTAATAATTGCAGAGTATGGACTGGGAAGCGAGGTTTCAACACAAGGTGATGTTTACAGTTATGGCATTCTCTTGTTGGAGATGTTTACGAGGAAGAGGCCTACTGCTGACATGTTTAAAGAAGGTTTGAATCTTCACAAATTTGTGGAGTCAGCTTTGCCAAATGAAGTGAGTGCCATTGCAGATCCATTTCTCTTTCAAGAAGGAGGCCAATCAAATGAAAGAACTATGATTGAATGTTTGATTTCCATACTTGGGATTGGAGTATCTTGTTCTGCTGAATTGTCAAGAGAGCGGATGGACATTACCGATGCTGCCATAGAGCTTTGTTTGATCAGAGATAAGTAAAAGACTCCCAGGGAAGAAATTCAAGCTCAAGCAATTTTAGTCATGCATGAAAATTTCTTTGTTAATGTTATTTCTGAAGAAGAAATTTAGATGTAGTTTAAATTCCACAATGCTTTAATTGCTAAATTTGGAGCTTTCATCTCTCAATTCTTCTCCCCCTCTCTCTTTCTACCACTTCCCTAACTTTCCCACTAACAAGGCCGTTGAAAAGCCCAAGTGCAACCAACGCAATTATGACCCTCGAGCCTAACAAGAAGGCCCATTGAATCCTTTAATATTGAGCCGGGTTTGAGGTAGATGTCGCATTGCGAAGAAACCATTCCATCGCCTTCAAGCTCCGCAAAAGGCACAAATGAGGATTTGTCTCTGCGTTCATTTGATTGACGAATGGAACAGTTTCTCTTTGGGGCGGAAGACATTAAAGAATTTATGAGTTTCTCCTGATTTTGAGCAGTCACTGTTTGTTTAGATATATTCTAGTTTTCAAGTATTACATTTCTCAATCCTTCTCTCTCTTTCTTTTTCTATTATTTCCCCAACTTTTTGATGTTCAAGTTTGCTTTTTTATTTCAGCTCTCAATTGATTCTAAATATATTCTTACAGAATCTTCCATATTAACCATAAATATTCTAATTAAGTATTAAACATGAGCCTTCTCGCTCTGGTTGATGCTGAATTTTTATTAATCAGCGATCAGTGGTCGTGGTTGTTGTTGTTTATATGTATAGTTTCTAGTTTTGCACTATTATATACAGCCTTGCTTTATTTATTAAGCTGCATCTGCTGTTTTTGAGAAATCAACGAATCCAGTTAATGGAATCGTTTGCAAAATATATAAAAGAAAATAATAAAAGAAAATAATATATAAAAGAAAATAATCTGCATCTGCATCTGATTTCAACCTTTTCTGTTTATTTGATTTCAATATATAAAAGAAAATAATAAAAAAATGGTGGTTATTATATATTCCAAAAGCTTTGGTGAGTTTCTCCTGATTTAATATTTATTGTATTATTAATTAGTCAAGTTTTTATTAATTGTTTGCAGCCATAAGTGGTAATATTTCCAACTTCTCAAGTCCTATCAACTTCCTCTTCGCAATGTTCAACTGCTAGGTTGGCTTCTTTTAATGCTGACTAAGTCTTTGTCTTGATTTTTCCAAGTTATTGACTTTTGTTTTTGTACTGTCCTAGTTTTAAATATTCAATAGCGATGGCTACTATAAAGTGTGTAGTTTTTGAAAAGAGAGAATCTATAAAAGTGTGTCAGTTTTTTGAAAAGAGCAGTTTTTATTTTTTCTATATTTTTGTGTTTGTATTTTCTAATCTCTACGATACATTTATATATATATGTATAAAAGATTGTTCCAATATAGGAAGTAATTTAAATAGGATTAAACTTAAACTAGGAAAGACAATATTTACTCTAATTACAAAGATTTCAACACTCCCCTTCAAGTTGGTGCATAGATATTCCTCACGCTCAACTTGCAAACTAAATGATGAAACAACTTGCTATTCAAACCCTTTGTGAAAACATCAGCTAGTTGCACTTTTACAGCTATATAGGAGACACTTATAAAACCTTCAACTATCTTCTCTTTTATAAAGTGATGATCAATCTCTATGTGCTTAGTTGATCATGTTGGACTGGATTATTCATAATACTGGAGTGTTTGGCAAGTTCACAATCATCACATACTAATGAATCAAAAACACACTTAGCAAACAAAGTGGGAAATAAACGTCCTAAAACAGAAAAAGAGGGATGTCCTAATCTCCTATGCCATTGAATAACTTCATTAACTTCATGGAAAGGATTTCTAGAAGTCTTAACAAAGCTTGGACTGGCTACCACGGGAATTTGAAAAACAACAAACTACCATCCAACAGATACAGTTCCATCGCGCCAAGCTACCACTGCCAATCTCTTCCCCGTGTTCAGTTACCACTGCCAATCGTTCTCCCCGTGTTCAGTTCCTAAAAAATACAATAAGTAGGGTACAAAGTTACTTTGCAATTAAGTGCTTTTGTGATTAAACTAACAGATAACAGATTAATAGAGAATCTAGGAACATGAAGAACATCATGCTAACAGATTATAAATTTATTAAATTTAATCTTTTTGCTAATAAAAAAAAAACACACTTTTTGAAGCAATTCGACAATACTAGTTGTTTTAGCTAAATATTTAAGGGAATAATGCTTCATATTTTATTCTCCTATAGCTTTTAAATACTAATATAAACATCATGCTATCAAACAATAAAAAGGAAAAAATACGATTTTATTTCTACATTTGAATTAACTACTTTATCTTTACATTTAAAAGATTACATTATTCTATCCTTGTAGTTTGTCTCTATTAAATGAAATTATTCTTCTGTCTATTACAGATATAAAATAGCATAATATGTATGGACAAAAATATAATTTTCTCTAATAAAAATAATAAAAATGATATTTTTCTTATAGTCAAAACACTAAATATTACTTGCTGTTTACGAACATAAATAGAAGCAGGAGAGCAACGGTACATGCCTGAGAGAAGCCGAGCAAACCATCAAAAGGACCTTTAGTTGATATTCACACAAATAAGAAATGCACTCTTCCAGATTTGTATACTCTGCAAAATCCTGATTAGTAAAACATTTCAGAAACTAATTAATTATGTATCCAAAATTCTAAATAAATGAGAATTTTTTATCTCTTCCATAAATTATACCTATTTGTACTGGAACCACTCAAAGTAGGGTGGTGGGAATATGCCTTCTATGTCGGATTTGCCTCCAGCAGGGAAAATTCCATTTTGCGTATAATTTTAAAATACTTATGATGCAAGTTATTTTACAGAAATAATCGGCGTCTAAATTTCAAATTAAATTATATTTTAGTCTTTAAACTTTTAAATTTTATTGAAATTATTGATTTTTAGGTAACACAAACTCAACAAAAATATATAATATGGCATCTCTCCAGAGTTCTGATAATTTATAGGGAAAAAAAAAAATAAAAAGAAGAAAATTACATACCAAGTCAAAATGAGCAAGAATAGAAGGATCCCACTTGCTAATTTGCTTCTGCAAAAAGCTTCCACTAGTCCTACTGCACTTGTCTGTGCTTTACTTGCAACTTCCAACTGCACTTGTCTAGTCTTTATAAGTTATTGTTGAAAAGTTAAGCTGAGGGGTGTGCAAAATTTGATTAAATTCGAAAAATTACGATCAAATCAATCTTGTTTGGTATTTCAATTAATTGACTTAGTTTGGGTTTATAATTTTAGATAATTTCAATTTTAATTTTTTTTTCGAGAAAATAAATGAATTTTACCTAAAAACTGAATTAAAACTGTATGATTCAATTTAATTTATATAAAAACAAACTTTGATATTCAATTTTTGGTTTAAAATTCAATTTGAAACTAAATTCTAATTTTACACCCTCCTAAATAAGAGTTTTGGTTATATATATTAAAAATGTTTGATATTATATTTAATTATAAATTATATATAAAAGTGGAATAAAGTTACTAATACAACTTTTTGTTTTCTATGAAGGACAATTGCCTATGCAGAGCTTGTGAAACTAAAATTGCTAATTTTGAATTTCACGAGCCACCGCTGCCCCTAAATAATGAGTGTCTGTGTGATTAGGTTATATTAACAATATTGTTGATCATCTATTACTCTAATTATAGAAATCGTGTGGGGTATATAAAAGTGGTTAATAAATGTGGCTTTTAAGTGATTCTCATTTCTAATGAGGGTACTTTCTTGTTCTGCCGAATTCACATAACAGACAGGATGACATCGTTTGATGCTGCCTTATAAAGCTTCAGGTTCGGTCAGAGATAGTTAAAAAACTCCTAGAGGAAGAAATGCACGCTCGAAGCGATATATAGTCATATTCAGATGAGAAAATATATAGTATTGTTTGTTATATGAAGGAAAGTTCCATAAAACTTGCAGTTTTAGTCCTGTTTTCTGTGTTTAGTCGGGGTTTCACGTTCTATGGAAATACCTGGAGACCGGAGGAAAATAGATAGAGATTGTAGTTTATAAATGACATTTGATAAAAAGGACCTATGGATTGAAGTAAGCCTATGTTATAGAAATTTATATACAAACATTTTGGTAGAATACATGTATGAGTATTCTATAACTATATTTATTTATTTGATCAAAAGTGCAGCCTTAGTTAAACTTGAGAGTTTCAATAATGTTTCTGTATGCATTTTCTTAAATATAAACTTTGCTTGACTTTTTTTGACGCTTGATGTATTAGCCAAAGATGGTTGGATATTGGTATTAATTTTCTTTCTATAGTAGATTGGTATTAATTTTCTTTCTATAGTAGGACCAGATGCAACACAAAAGGCCAACTAGAACAAACAAAATATAATATAAATTAAGAATTTTTACAAAAAAAAAGGAACCTTATGGATTGAAGTTATCATTTCTTTCTAAAACAAAGGTTGACTATATGTTGACCTGGCACTGACAAATGGCAATTGCTGATTTGCTACATATGTGTGGTCCACCAAGAAAGCAGAGACTACTTGACTCTTGCTTTCTAAAAGAAGTCGTCTCCTACATACTTTTCCTCAGTTCAGATTCAATAATGTTTCATATCATTTTCAAATAACAATATGTAATTTTATCGTCTTTCTACTTTACCTTTCTTTTTTCTTACTTTTTTTGGGTAAAATTTGTTTCTTGCATCTTTCTTGTGCTTTTTACACTTTCAGTTCTACCGTTCACACTATCTATAGGTTGTCGGAAATAAACTACTGAAAAGATGTCGGAAATAAACTACTGAAAAGATAGTTTAGCCACATATTTGGCTTTTTGCTCAATTCTTTCTTCTACCTCAAAAGTTGGTGTAAATGATCCATGTCACGTATGAATATAAATATGGGCTTTAATGATCTCAATCCTCATATTAATTAGTCCCTCAGTTTTCAGGGTCACTAAAAAACCTGAAGTTTTAACTTCCATTGTAGAGTTAACCTTCTAAGTTTTAACTCTACAGGAATTAATGGGCTGTTTATGTTTCTGGTCTTGTTTTTTCATCTATGCTTCTGGTTGTCTGTTGTTCTTCGTCACAGGAACATACTCAGTTCCTGGAAATGAGACTGATAAACAAGCCCTGCTCGAGTTCAAGGCCGGAATAGCTGCTGACCCTTTTGCGGTCATGACCTCATGGAATGGCACCATCCACTTTCATGACCTCATGGAATGGCACCATCCACTTTTGCCAATGCTATGGGGTTACTTGTGGCCGCCGGCACCGGAGGGTCACAGTATTGGACCTCAGATCCTTAAATCTTGTGGGCACCATATCACCTTCCATTGGTAATTTGAGCTTTCTAGAGGTACTAAACCTTAAAAACAATAGCTTCACTCATAATATTCCTCCTGAACTTGGTCGTTTGAGAAGACTAAAAGCACTATTCCTGTATAATAATTCACTCACTGGTGAGATTCCATCCAATATTTCTGGATGTTCTAACATTATTTATTTAGTTCTTCTTAACAACAATCTGATAGGAAAGGTTCCTGTAGAGCTCGGCTATCTCTCGAAGCTTCAATGTCTTTTTATAGATAAGAACAATCTAACAGGAACTATCCCTCATTTTCTTGGAAACTTGTCTTCTTTTACTGCTCTTACTCTAGCTTTCAACAACTTTGTTGGAAATATTCCGGATGCTTTAGGACAACTTAAAAATTTTCAGTATTTAGACGTCTTTGATAATAAGTTGTCTGGCATTATCCCTCCCTCAATCTTCAATCTTTCTTCCATTACATATTTGGATATAGCATTTAACCATTTTGAAGGATTTCTTCCTGCAGATTTGTTCACCACTCTTCCAAATCTTCAGAATCTTTGTTTTGCTCGCAACCAATTTACTGGTCCCATTCCTAATTCAATATCTAATGCTTCCAAAATAGTCCATCTTCAGTTGCAGGGAAACGCTCTCACAGGAAAAGTGCCTCCTTTAGAGAGATTCAACTTTCTGTTCTTATTATTAGTTTCAATCGTCTTGGAAATGGAGAAGTTGATGACTTGAGATTTCTATGCTCTTTGACTAATTCCAGCATTTTGCGGGAGTTGGATATTAGTGAAAATAACTTTGGAGGGTCCTTACCTGAGTGCATTGGCAACTTGTCATCTAATCTTGAAAATTTGAGTTTTTATAAAAATCAAATATCTGGAAGCATTCCAACTGGTATCGGAAATCTGGTCAACTTGGCAATTCTAGAAGTTTATAGCAACAAGCTTTCAAGTATGATTCCCCAGAGGATTGGAAATATGCAAAATGCAGTGGTTATGAGTTTCCATGAGAACAAGATCTTCGGACCAATTCCATCATCTCTTGGAAACCTTACAAAGTTGAATAGACTTTCTTTTGCTGATAATAACCTTTCAGGGTACCATTCCATCAAGCCTAGCTAATTGCAAATATTTGGAAGCGCTGGATTTTTCTGGAAACAATCTCAGTGGTATCTTACCTCCAGAAGTTATTGGCCTCTCATCCCTGTCACTTTATGCTGGTTTTGCACAAAACTATTTCACCGGTTCCCTTCACTTATAGCCTGGTTTTGCACAAAACTATTTCACCGGTTCCCTTCCACAGAAGTAGGCAATTTGAAAGCCTTAGGTACCGTTAGATGCTCCCTTAGATGTCTCTGACAATATGTTATCAGGTGAGATACCAAGTAGTCTTGGGAGCTGCACAAGTCTAGAATACCTATACATGAGCGGGAACAGTTTCCAAGGGTCCATTCCTTTGTCTCTTAGTTCATTGAGAGGTCTCCAAGAATTGGATTTTTCTCGCAACAATTTATCTGGACAAATTCCTGAATTTTTGGCAAGCTTTAATTCATTGCTCCGATTGAACTTATCTTTCAATGATTTTGAAGGTATATTGCCAACTGATGGAGTCTTCGAGAACACAAGCATTACTTCAGTAATGGGAAACAACAAGCTATGCGCAGGCATATCTGAGTTCCAGCTTCCTGTTTGCCACCTCAAAAGATCCAAGAGGAGACTAAAGATAATCATTGCGACCGTGATAGGACTATCAGGAGCAATTTTTGTGGTGTTGTCTTTTCTAGTTCTTTTGAGGTTTAAGAAGAACAGACCAAAACCTGCTTCATCCAATTCAGATGATCCTCTTCTGAAAGTTCCCAAGGTGTCATATAACGATCTCATAAGGCCACTGATGGCTTCATCTCTTCAAATTTAATTGGTAGTGGCAGTTTTGGATCTGTATATAAAGGAATTCTTAACGAAGGCAGGCAAACCGTAGCTGTTAAAGTTCTTAATCTCCAATATCATGGTGCGGCCAAGAGTTTCACGGCGGAATGTGAAGCCTTAAGGAATATCAAACATCGAAATTTGGTAAGGATTGTTACTGCATGTTCGGGTGTGGACTATCAGGGCAATGACTTCAAGGCACTAGTTTATGAGTTCATGGTCAATGGGAGTCTCGGGGAATGGTTGCATTCATATGTTCAAGTAAATAGGACGCATGAGGGATACAAGATTTTAAATCTAATTCAGAGAGTAAATATTGCAATTGATGTTGCTTCTGCAACAGAGAGTAAATATTCGCAATTTGATGTTGCTGTCTGCAATTGAGTATCTTCATCCATCGTACTGGGACTCGATAGTCCAGTTTGCGATCTAAAGCCACGCAATGTCTCTCGCGGATGATGACATGACTGCCCATATTGGTGATATGTTGGGCTGGCAAAATTCCTTTCGCCATTCGATGATGAAATGACTGCCCATATTGGTGATTTTGGGCTGGCAAAATTCCTTTCGCATAGCATCCAAAATAATTTTTCTAATCAATCAAGTTCTGCTGGATTACGAGGAACGATTGGTTATGCTCCTCCAGGTATGCAGTTTTTTCTTTTAATTTTTCATCTTAGAAAAATTTCAACTTGATAGGATTAAAGTGTGATGTCTAACTTATAAGAATTGCAGAATATGGACTAGGAAGTGAAGTTTCAAAACAAGGTGATGTTTATAGTTATGGCATTCTCTTGTTGGAGATGTTTACAAGGAAGAGGCCTACTGATGACATGTTTAAAGAAGGTTGGAATCTTCACAGATTCGTAAAGTCAGCTTTACCAAATGGAGTGAATGCGATTGTAGATCCAATTCTCCTTGAAGGAGGCCAAGCAGATGGTAGAATTATGACGGAATGTTTGATTTCCCTGCTTGGAATTGGAATTTCTTGTTCTGCTGAATCACCTACAGACAGGATGGACATCAGTGATGCTGCTATAAAGCTTCATTCGGTCAGAGATAAGTTAAAAAACTCTAGAGGAAGAAATGCACGCGCGAGCAATATTAGTCATATATAGATGAGAATACATGAGAAATATATAGATTGTTTGCTAATTGATAGAAGAAAGTTCCATAAACATGCAGTTTTTAGTTCCTGTGTTTTTCTGTGCACTTAGTCGGGGTTCATCTGTTCGTATGGAAATACCTGGAGACCGGAGAAAATAGAGGAGTAGTTATAATATTACATTTGAATAAAAAGAGAACCTTATCGGATTGAATTAAAGACTATGTTAAAGAATGTTATATAAACGATTTTTGTAAATACATTGATGTAGGTATTCTAAACTATTATTTATTTATGGGAAAAATTATATTTGTCCCTGAGGTTTGCCCATAATTATTAAAATAGTGCCCGACGATTAGTAGTACATATTGTGATAACGTACCGTGAGGTTTACTTCCTTCACTATTAATTAGTCTTTCTATAAAAAAAAAATACACTTTTTCCGTTAATTTTGAGTGGAAAAACTCAAATTTAGTTCACCATTTTTCTCAATCCAACAACGGTCTTGCATTGCTGACCCACCGTGGTTCGTCTGTCAAGTAATCATCCTCATAACCAGCATCGACCAACAAAACGGTAAAAGGAAAGGTAATTGTTTCGTCACCTGGAGGTTTTTGGCCATAATTATTTAAGTAGGTTCCCCGCCATTTATATAAATTAATTCTATAACGTCCCTGAGGTTTACTTTCCGTCAGTATTACGTTGGTCTTTCCGTTCCAAAAAAAAAACACTTTTTCTGTTAATTTTTAACTAGGAATGACCAAACTACCCCTAAATCCTCTAATCAAGGAGAAGGGGGGGAGGAGAGATTTAAAGGAATGTGAAGGGTGAATGATGGCCTGATTGGAGTTTTGGATGTTGGGTTTTAGTTTTGGAGGTGATCTCGGGTTATGGAGGATAGAATAGTTTTTCGATTTGACACAATGGCGTGGCAGATGAGAGACCGTGTTGGGTTGGGAGGAAGATGGTGAAAAATGTGAGTTTTAGGAAGTTTAAGAGGGAGAATGGATTAGATAATTAAATTCGAGATGAAAACTGGTATCAAGGATTAATTTCGTTCTTTTCCACTCAAAGATTAACGGAAAAAGTGTAGTTTTTTTTTTTTTTTTTTATGGAAGAAACAGATTTAATATGACGGGAAGGTTAAACTGTCAGAGGAGCGTTATAAATGGATTTGTTATAAATGTCGGGGAGCTATTTAATAATTATTGGCAAATCTCAAAGTACGAGAATAATTATTTTTTCAAGGATAATTTTGTACTTCCTTCTTCTCAAAATTAACGGAAAAGTTGTATTTTTTTTTTACGGAAGTTACCAATTAATATGATGGTGGTAAATCTCAGGGACGTTATAAATATTATGTATAAATGGTCGAGGACTAGCTTTAAAATAAATTACGGAAAACCTCAGGACAAAATAATAATTTTCCCTTATTGGGGTGATTTATCCAAAATGCAGCCATAGTTGAAATTGAGATTCAACAATGTTTCTTATCATTTGCTTAGAATGATAGAATTGTCTTTGACGTTTTTGAGCTGGGATGTGATTGCCCAAAATTGAGACATTGTCATTGAAATTTTCTTTCTATAGTAGGACAGCATGCCAAACCAAAAGGCCAACAGAACAAAAAAATATTTATTAAGTATTAAATTAAGAATTTTTACAAAAAAAAAAAAAAAAAAAGAAAAAAAAAAAAATAAAAATAAGGGCGGCTGGCTTTGAACTGAATCAATCAGCTTACCCAGGTAGCTTAATATGGGATTTTCATTGTCGCCGAAAATCTAAATAGCTTAAATCATTTCTCTTATATTGCGTCCGTTTCAGTTTTTAGTCTTCATTGTGATGGAGAAGACCTTTTCTAACTCTTAGGAATGCGGCTCTGTATCTTCTGGTACTTTAGTTTTTTAAACTCTGCTACTGTTGTCTGTTGTTCTTTTGCCACTTAAGAACATTACTCACTTGCATGAAATGAGGATGCTGATTCAACTAGCCCTTTGCTCGCAGTTCAAGGGCGCGAATAGCTGCTGAGCCCAGTTTAGGGTCATGACCTCAGGAATGGCACCACCATTTCATGCCTAATGGTACGGGGTTACTTGATGGCCGCCGGCAACCGGAGGGTCATAATGTTGGAAATGCCGGGGTTCCTTTAAAACTGTGGGGGCGACCATATTCTCCATACATTAGTAATTTTGAGCTTTTTAAAGTTACAACCTCTCGAAAGCAATAGCATATCACCCGCCAATATTCCTGCCTTGAAATTTGGTCGGTTTGCGAAGACTGGCATAAGCACTATACGCTATTCAATAATTCACTCCACTTGTGAGAGTTCCATCGTTAATATTTTCTAGCTTGTTCTAGCCTTATTTCGTTTAAGTCTTTGGAAACAAACAATCTGTGGGGTAAAGTTCCTGTGGAGCTTGCTTATCTGTTGAATCTTTCAATTTCTTTAGCTATATCTATGAACAATTTAATGGAAGAAAGTCCTTCATTCTTCTTGGAACTGTCTTCCTCTTGAGCTACTATTGAATATAGGTACAATAACTTTGTGTGGAATTAATTCCTGGTTGGTATAGGACAACTTAAAGAACCTTAAGGGTTTTAGTCCTCGCCGTCAGAGATAAGTTGTCTGGATGTATCCCTTCTCGAGTCTTCAATCTTTTCTTCTATTACCAGTTTTGGTATGGGATTCAAACAATTTGATAGGGTGTTCTTTTCTGCAGTTTCATACACCTTCTCTTCCAAATTCTCCCAGGTCCTGAAGTTTGCTTGTGCTAACCTAATGTTACCTGCGTCCCCATTCTAGTTACAATAACTAATGCTTCAATATGTCTCTCTTCCAGTTGCAGGGAAACAGTCTCACAAGGAAAAGTGCCGTTCTTTTGAGCGAATTGAGCCTTCAAGTGCGTTTGAATTCAACAGAATCGTCTTGGAAATGGAGAAGAAGGCTGATGATTTTAGGAGTTATTTATGCTCTTTGACTAATGCCAGCATTTTCAGGTTGGTTGGTATTGGATATAATAATTTTGGGAGGTCTTTACCTGATTTGCATCGGCAACTTTTCATCCAATCTTGAAAAAATTGTTTCTACATGCAAATCAAATAATCTGGAAAAAAAAGGGGCCCATTTTCCCAAGAAAAACTAATGTGGGAAAATCTGATCAACTTGTTAACTATACAAGCAGTTATAACAACGAAGCTTTCAGGTATTATTTCCCCCAGTGGTATCAGGAGAACCTGCAAAAGAGTAGCGGTTATGAGATTCAATGAGAACAAGTTCTGACGGACCTATTCCTATCCTTCCATTGGGAGGCCTCAACAAAGTTTTAATAACTTTATTTGCCAAAATAATAACCTTCAGGGTTAACATAATTCCTTCAAGTCTTAGCTAATTGCAAATATGTTGCAGCTTGCTGATTTTCTTGGAAACAATTCTTAGTGCCGTACCTTTTGCCTCCAGAAGTTCTTGGCCTCTCATCCTGTCAATTTATGTTAGTTCTGTTTGAAAAACTATTTCAATGGTTTCCCTTCCAACAGAATGTAGGCAATTTGAAAGCATTAGGTACCTAGATTGGTCTTCTGACAACGATGTTATCAGGTGAAGATACCCATAGTAGTCTTGGGAGTCCTGCACAATCTAGAGTACCCTATACATGAATGGAAACCTTTCCAAGGCGTCCATTTCCTTTACTCTCTCAGTTCATTGAGGAGGTCTTCAGGTTCTTGAATTTTGTTCTCACAACAATTTTGCTGGGGCAATTCTGGATTTTTGTTAGCTTTAATTCATCGCTCAGTCTAAACTTATCGTTTCAATGATTTTGATGGCATAGTGCCAATGATGGCAGTCTTCCAAAGAATGTAAGCCATTACTTTCAGTTAGGAAAACAAGCAAGCTATGGCGGAGGCATACGCTGAGTGTCGCGCTGTCCTGTTTGTCACTTCAAAAGATCCCAAACAAAAGCCGATCCAAATGTAATCATTGCTACCATAGCCGATTGATTTCGAGGAGCAATTTTGGTGATGCTGTCTTTTGCTATTTCTTTTGTTGGTTTTTAGTAAGGAAAAAGGACAACCTATTTCATCCAATTCAGAAGTTCCTCTTCTGGAGGTGCCCGAGGTAGTCAGAGACGATCTCCCATAAGGCGCACTGGATGGTTCTGCCGGCAAAGAAGGTAGTGGCACAGTTTGGGATCTGTATATTAAAGCGAATTCTTTAATGGAAGATGGGCAT